CACAGATGCAGGCTGCTCTACTGTACTCTATGAAGCAACAAGCAGGACACTGAGAATGCAGATTGCTCAGTGAATGGCTTGCACTTTCCTGTAAAGTGGCCAGATTCAATTCTCCAAAGGAGACACTGATCATTTCTATTAGCAACCGACACACTTATTCTTTCCTGGCATTCACCAGCCTGAGCAAGCACTGGTGAGTTTTTAAAGGTGATGGGCCAAATATTCCAAAATCTTCTTGAGCTTTACCTCATGTGATGGGAACAATCTGCAGTGTGTGTGTGTGTGGGGGGGGGGTAGGGGAAGACAGGGGGGTGGCTGGTGATTGCCAAAGGGGCTGTTATTGAGTTCTCTAGCTCTGTAAATTCCTGTTGTATTTGATTCATTTTCTCTGTACAGTAAAATAAGAGCTCCAGTGTCACCAGTTAGGAAAGGCTGTGATGTGGTGGGCAAGTATCCCATTTTCCCCAAGATCTTGCACTTGCTCAAAGTTCCACAGGTTTCAGAGCTAGGGAGCTAAGACCCAATTGCTTTAAAGCAGCATTCCCATGCTAAATCAATACAGCTGCTGCTGGAATGGTCAGGAGCATTACTCCATCTTGCATCATCACAACACCACTGAAATTTAACCCGGCCACCCCTCCATTCAGTGGCCGTGATAAATTGCATTGAAGCCTGGTGCACAGGATCTCAACACCACTTAAATCTGGCCTGGCTGCCACTCTGGCCAGCAAAGCACATGGAAGTTCTCTAAACAACTTGACTCCAGGGGCCAATACGCATGCACTGTGTAAGAGAATGCCTGGGGTTTCTGTGGGAGGTGCTGGTCCAAAATGGGGTTCCTGCTGGTGGGAGGGCTGGAATTTGCTTCCCCTCCTAAGAAATATGTGAATTTGCAGTAGTTAACACTTGGTCAAGTATCTGGATTAGAGAGTCTGAACTGAAGAGTCAGTTCACTATTCAGAGTAAGTCAGTGAATCATAATTTTGCAGCTGTGATGGTGGTGTAGAATTTTCCTTTGCTTCTGTTACTGCAGTGGCACAGATTTGGCTTGCATCATTAGCGGTCTACTTTTTTGCCTTAGTAATTTTTCAATGTAAATCTTCCTGGTTGGTGAGAAAAGCTGGCCTTGCAGCTGGATCATTTGCATTTCTAGGAAATATTACAACCTAGATCAATTCAAGAACCTTCAGGGAGAACCATCTTTCTTGATTTCTCTCCTAATGGAAGGGGGAAAGTAACAATCAGCACCTAAATGAGGTAGGGTTCAGCTCAGGAGAGATGAACATTTGTTAAGTCTCCAACATTCCTTCCTACACTAAAAGACAAGATATATTTTGTGAGAAATATATTGGCTACATGCAGAAGAGCAGTTCAGGTGCAATCACCAAGAACAATGTACTAGTTTACAGGTTTCAGGTTTTGTATGTATTTTGGGCACAGTGCAAGTATAGATTTAATCCTGGCAGGCATGTTTAAAGTGACATCTTCCAACTCAGTCTCTTAATTTTTCATTGAGACATATTTATGTCAAATTGCTTCTAAAATACTCAGTATACTGAGCACACACTAAGGAAAAATACAGGAAATATAATTAGCTATGCTGGCTTTCATGTAGAAGAGCCTACATAAGTAAGACAAGGCTTGACTGAAGCTTCCTGGCACAACACCCAGTAAATTACTAGAATAAACAGTGACATAAATTCCTAGTTGACAACCTAGAAAGTTGCATTTATTTATTTGTGCAAAAGCAAGACTGTTGCACCTTTGAAAATAATATTGTGCAACAACATACAATATTAGGGAAAAAATTTGCTCTCCATTACTCTGTTGTAAATATGGAGTAACTTCATTGGAACTACTCAATATTTATTCTGGAGTAACACAGAACCAAATCTAGCTCACTAGCCAGGAATAATAATTTGACAACAAGAAATACAACCCTACATGTCTCAGTATATAAGTCTGATTACCAAAGATTTTGAGAAAATTATGGCAGAGGTGTCAATTACAACTGTAACAACTCTTTCCTATTAATAATTAGTCACAATATTTATAAGCTGTGATTTGCATTTGGACAGTGCATTATACAGAAAGCTTGTGAAGGAATTATTAGGCTTTGCATTGAAGCTGATGGGTTCCCACTACAGATGTCCTGAAATTTTAGCTCTTATGCAAACATAAAAATAAAGAGGTTGGAGAATGCGCATATAGAATACACACATTATTGTTATATTCATTCTTCACTTTAGTTTAAGTCATTCAATACATGCTTACTTCTCTTTGGTACTAGACTGTAGCATATTTACACCGTAGTATCTACTATAATCGGTGGCAGGAGACACATTAAAGACAATACATTGTCTGCATACCAGATTGTCCATGTAAACTAAAATAACATGAAAAAAGACTATAGTGTGACACTTTTGGAATATAGTTTGATGTAATTCAATTTCAGTGTCTATAATTGAAATAAATCATCCATGTTCTCAGTACTGATAGTCTACCATTTTGTTTCTCCAGAACACAAACTGTTTTGTAAGATAAGGACTCATATATTTGTACCTAGAAGGCTTACTTGGCATTGCCCAGGTCTGGCCCATGGGACGGGGAGGTGGGGATGGGGGGCATGCAGGCCTCCTGCAGACATTTCCCAGGCTCAAGCTGGGCTTGGGGGGGCTGCCAGCGTAGCGGAGCAGGGGGAGTGAAGGGCGATGGCTGTGCAGGCTGGCCGGCCCCAATGGCATTTCCCAGGCCTATCTCAGGGGATGGGGACACAGGCTAGCTGGACATGCTGGATGTCCCAGTGATGCTGGGGGATGCAACCTGTGGTTCCTACATGAGGCTGGGACTGCACTGACCAGCTCCTGGCAGTGCTCAAGGGTGGGGGTGGTGGTGGAATTGGTGGGGGTCAAGAGCCAGAGGGTACAGGTTTGGGAAAAGGGGGCCACTTACCTGAGCTGGTGGCCAGCAAGATAGTGAGCCCAGTCCCCAGCTGGCCACTTCCTTCCTGGTGCAGCTGCCCCCAGTGGTCACTTTGTAGTACAGCTGTTCCCCATGCTCACTGCCCCAGTGGTCACTCTGTAGTATAGCATCCCTCCTCTTTGCCCCTCCCTTTCCATGTTATAAAAACAATTGAATTCCAGACCCATCCTGTTTTCCTGACACAACCAAACACTGAACTTGCTCTAAGTTAGGATATGAGGAAGCTTCATATGAAATGTGATGGTCCTATCTGGTACCATTTAGGCGGAATTCACAGACAGACAGATCATATATATATATATACACAAACACACACTCACACTCACACACACACACACACACACACACACACACACACACACTATATATATATATATATATATATAATGAGTCTCTTCACTCCAAATTATATATGTAATATTAATTAATGGTAATGGTAATTATTAACAATGGAAGAGAACCTCGTACAAAAGGTAAACACAGAAATGATGAATTTTCACTTTTTTTTAATAGTAATTCTTTAATACTCTGCCCTATGTCAATTTTAAAGGCAAAGAATGTATATTTGTTATCACACACAGAACTCCTCCTCTTAAATTGAAAGTTGACAGGTTGTTGTTGCAAAAAACGGGGGGGAAATCAAACATCTTTCATGGAGAGTTAGTTCTCTTTTAACCTTTCTGCATATGGCAAGATTAAATTTACCAACTGATTTTATTAAATTTGCATGATAGTATATTAATCTTCATTTTAGGGAAAGTGAGTGGATAACATTTGTAAATATATTGGTCAAAAAATAGACCATTCTTGATGCACTGGGTTGGCATATTATCAAAGCACAGAGGGTTTTTCTCTCTCTTTCACACACACACACAAACACTCACACACATCGTGATTGTTGCCAATAGAGTAAAATTTTCACATTAATACTGGAAGCAACTCAAAAGAACCCCAGCCGACATCCCATCTGTTCTCAGGAATTAAATTTAGAAATCATATGTAATATAGACATTTCTGTCTGAATATCATAAAGCTCTGACACATCCAGGCTTTCATTAAAAAGCTCTGAGATGTGACTTGAATAACAATTTGTCTTAGTTAATTAGTATTTTCAGTTTAGCATATTCACTTTCAGACGTATTGCTGTTTGCACATGGTAATTTAGGTAAACAGATCCCATCCACAGCTGCATCAATTAACACTGCTAATCAAAACTGAATTCAGGTAATTAGGCACATTTATGCAAAAAGTGTGTAATTTGGGGGGAAAGCTAGATTCTTCAAGTAATATTCCAATAAGCATGAGTCTCTTTTTTGCAGATAAGATGAGGAAATAAAGAGTAAATCAGCAATAATACATAGCTGATGCAGCCTCAGTGAAAAATATCTAAATTAAATCTCACTATTTAATTGGCCTGTATTTTCAGAAATTGGTCTGTATTTTCTGTATAGATGTGTTCCTCAATGTTTCTATTTAGAACAGTTGCTCCATGTCTGAATTGAGGTTTAATGATAATTACATAGGATTTACAAGGTTAATATTTCTTCAAATATTTGTGTATTTATGGGCTATGCTGGTCAAACAAGCTCTCATATCTGACTAGCAAATTTTTGATGAAAATGCCTTCAGTGAATTTTCATTTTCTTTTTGTCACATAAGGTATACATTATCATCATCAAGAAAACACCACTAAAAATGTCTCTTTTCTTCTGTGCTTATAAAAGCTCCCTTCCCGTGTTCACCTCACTGTAACTGTAGTAAATATAAAAATTATACCAAAATACTCCTGTTACAAATCACTTAACTTTAAATGTTGACATCTGTGTTTTCAAAGCCACTTACTAAATACCATTTCCCATGTTTTCTATTTTTATGGTTTTTCTATATTTTCATCAAACAACATTTAGTAAAGCATAGGGACAACTGTATATTAATATCAGAGGAAATATTTAATTTGTATAAGACAATACATTCAAAGTAGGAACACATATTATGACAACAAATGTATAGCATTTTACCTTTTGATTCATCATATTCCAGGATCTTGGCTAAATCTCAGGTGTACACAGATCTTTTATAAGTGACATGCTGATTTTAAATTTTTCAGATTTCGTTTTCATATTTGTGGGCATTTTCAAAAGGCTACGCAAGTCTAGTAGGCAAAATACCTTTGTCAGTTTGTAGATAGTCTTCCATAAATTCTGAACCTGATGAAAAAAATTGACAAAGGGAATTATTGATTTTTAACAGATGTCTAAAATGAATCTACAATTTTGCCTACCTCAGGCTAATTCTTGTTCTCATAAGAGACCATATAAAGCAAAATTGATTTCTTTTCAAAATAGCATATTATCTTGTCTCAGACAATAGTAGGTCTTTCCTGTCCCGTACCTCAGAAATACTCACTTAAAAAAACTTTTTTAATATCCATATTGTCTGCTATAAATATTATAAAATACTAAGTCTACTAAAATATTTGTTAAAATATTAACTCTTTGTAATAATCAGTGGAAACACTAATCCAATAAAGATTTAAAAAATGCACAGCATTTATTTGAATCAGAAGACACATGCATACACTGTATTGCATAATTTCCTGTTGTATGGAATATATGAAAATGCTACAGTATCAAGTACCATAGTTAAGTGGGTTAACAAACCTCTAGTTTTAATTTGGCTGTCTGAGTTGAGTTAAATATCACTACACTATATTAACACATTATCGAGCGCTCTTTATCCACCACACAAGGAGTTCAAAAGAAAACAAACTAAAATGTATGGTAGAAAACAGAACTCTGAACCAATTTGCTGTTAAAATAGCTATTAGCCACACAGACTGCTCTTACAAAGGTCAAATTTTGGAATTTAGGATAAACCAATTTCTAATTTTCACTAAAATAAATTGAAGTTCCCCTGCCATCTGAATCTGAAGCAACAATATAACCTCACCTCCTTTCGACTTCCTCTGCATTGATGTGTACACTTGTCATACATATGTTAAACTGAACAGCAGTTGTCCATAGTCTCTCAAATACTTCCTTTATACTGTATTGACATATTCTGTATTTCATCAAAACAGTTGATTTGACCTGTCTCTGAAAGATCTGCCTTTTCTTTGATGAATCAGAGTTTCTCTTCACTGAGCACTACCACGGCACAACTCACCATTCGCTGGAAAAGTTAATACTCTATTAGAATACCAAAACTGGTTGCATTTTTCATTTATTAAGTGGTGTTGAGATTTACTAAAATGTAGTTGGTATTAACTAATATTTATCTAAGGATTATTGCAAAACTAAATAACTAAAAACAGGCCAATGTTGAAGTTGACTAGTACATGGAGAATTTCTCATACATATGCTTAACTATTCTCCCTCACATGTATCACTTTACTTTACAATAGGGGAGAGAGAATGAGCATATTTAATCACACTGAAAAGAAAAAAAATGCACATGATTGCATATGTGCCCTTTATTAATAAATGTGACAGAGACCAAGTATTAAATCCTATTATAGAAACTCAGGTCTCAGAAGACCAAGCTTGTGCAATATATATAGTAAATAGCACTAAATACAATACTCTATGCATTTAAATGAATTTGGAAATTATAAGCGCACTTTTAAAACATTTAAGTTAACATTTATTTGGATTTGATTATTCATGATATTTCATAACAAATTAGTTTTGTAAATATGGGATCATCATTTTATATTGTAAGTTTAATGTTTGAGAACTGCAGAGACAAAAGCTAATAGCTAATAATTACTAATCTACACCCTCACAAAAGAGAAACAATGAGTTGTTTATAAATGTGGAATGGAATGCAAGTCCCATAATTAAGAATCAGGCAATGATCCTTTTAGCAAATGGATCTCTTAGTTAAACATGCTGCTAATCCAAGCCTCAAGGTCTGATTCATTACCCTGGAGAATCCCCTCTATATTTTTTCCAGCTGTTCCATCTAGGTCACTCGAGCACAAGTATAGTTTTCATCTCTGCCTCACTTTCTTCCTGGGGTCCCACAAGCAGAAGCCTGTCTTTCTGAAGGCTGTTTAAAGTGTAAATGAAAAGACTAGGCAGCAGTGAGCTGCTACCTCAGGCTCCTTAATTACAATGCTTTGGACTGCTCTACCTTGGCAGAATTCTTCTTTGATGAAAGAGAGGAAAAATGAATATGGAATGGAGAAAGCACATTAATTATAATTTTAATAGTGTTGCACTCTATGAAAGGATAGGAACTTTTTACTATGCATTGAGCCACTAATGGCCAAATTATTGCTGGGTTAGTGAAATGTCCCTTACACCCCTGATCCATATACCTGCACTGTGGGCAGCCATGTGGGAGGAGAAGCAGGTTGCCAAGAAAGGACAGAATAGGGAAGTGAATGAGGGAAGACTTGCCCCTTGCAAGTGATGGCACACCAGGGAATCTAAGGTGTACTGGATGTGAACCTGATAGAGTTTATTCCTTCCTGATAAGAATGGGGTGGGGTGGGGTGGGAGCGGGACTGAGAGGGAAGCAATGACCTTCTGAGGGTTAATTCCTTCCTGATAAGAATGGGGTGGAGTGGGGTGGGGGTGAGACTGAGAGGGAAGCAATGACCTTCTGAGGGTTAGCTTATACACTAACTGGATCCAAAGTAACTACTCTATTTCATTCACACTTTCTGATATTTTGCTGAAAGCCTCTTATCCAACATGCAAACATCCCACATGCAGAGTTATACCAAAATAATGGGAGGTCTGACTTAAAATGGATTGAACTATTTTGGTTCCAGTTTTTCAAGAGGCAAGAGGATCCTTATCCCTGGTGCATCATTAAGACACAATTTTGCCATAAATGACCATAAAATATTAATTAACTTGGTGTTACTTTTTATTTAAAAACTAAATAAAAAGAATAAAATAAATAGTTCTGAAGCAATCTCTGAGCCAAAAATTCTGGAGCATGCAGTGAAGTAAGCACAAATCAAGACATTGCATTCTCATACGAATAAATTAATATGGTTTAATACTCTTTGGAATGTGTAATTTTAATGTAAAAAGAACCTAAATCTAAAACCAAAATTTTTGAAGGCTGTACAGTGGTCCTTGCAAACCAACCCACAGTCCTTCAAACAGGTTAAGCAAGCACAAAACTTTAAGCCTGTGACCAGTCCCATTGGTTTCAATGAACTACTCAGGTCACACATGTGCTTAACTGCAAATGTACTTTTGGGATCAATCCTGCAAGGTGATTTAGGCCTCTTCAGCACTTAAACATATTCTTAATATTAAACAACATGAACAGTATCACTGAAATCAAAGCATCTAGGTCTGTGAATAGCTCTTCACTTCAATAGAACTAATCACACACTTACATTTAAGCAGGCGCTTACGTGGTTTATTGATCTAAAATCAAAGTTCTCAGTCTTCCAGAGAATCAAGCACCAAATGCTTGTGTGTTAGATAAAAGCATGTTTATTACCTATAAACCAATCTTGAAAAAGATTGCGCAGGTTGGCAACATTACTCATGAGAGTAGTCTGTTGACTTCAATAGGACTACTCACAAGAGTAGCATTGATCACTTGTGTAAAGCTTTCCTGGATCAAGTTCTTAGGGAAACAAAACCTATCAATATGACTTATATATCATACCTCTTTAATAAGTTCCAATTTTCCGCCATTGATACCATATAGCTCCTGCATGTAAAGATTAGCTTCAGACAGTGGTTCTTTATTCCGGAATTCCTTTACCATGACAGCCACATCAGTTCTGCACTTTGCCACTGGACTAGTTTTGCCAGAACTAAATCTTCCTCTTTCTGCAATCGCATCTCACTGACATGTAAAAATGAAAATTAAAACATTTTTTTAAAAAAAAACTTGAATGACATACCACTCTTTTCTGTGTTTGCATTTAAATTAGATGGAATAATTTAGCACTGGCTTTTAATTTCAGAAGGGTTAATCACCCTAGCAAAGGTCAATAAAACTTTAATCTCTGATAAAATTGCTGCAGCTCCAATCACCTGCAGGACATTTATTATATTCTTATTTCCATGCAAAAGAATGCATTACTAATCTTCTAACTCTTTACATTAGCACATTTACCATTAACATTTTACTAACATTATTAATGCCTCTAAAACTATGACAAGAGTTCATTTCTTCACATCTCAGGAGATAATCCTGTTAAAAACCAGGCACATCTGCTGTGACACTGCTTTAGTGGACCTCTCTAATCCTCATAGAGGTTTGATACTCCAACTGAGTTCTAACAATGTCCAAAGTCCCAATTACATAAAATATTACGGGGTTTAGGTTAAAACAACAATACACTGTTTTAGCAACTCAATCTTGCCTATTGTCTGCAATTACATTACTAATCTATTTTGCTGCTATTTGCTGTATTGCCAATTCAAAACAAAATATTGATTTGTAATTTTTTAAAACTGCTCTTGAACAGCAACAGAAATACCAGAAAATAGCAACAGTAAAACTACTGACAATAGGAAACTGATCAGAGGGAATAACATTTTCCAGCCTGAGCAATATCCCCTTTCGACGTGAGGGCATTGCCCATTAAAACAGGAGGGTTTCAGTTGCCATTTTTTATTTTGCTTATTAATCAAAAATAAAATCTCACTATATTTAATTTGGCTGAAGTCTGCAACATATCTCTGTAAAATGCTATCCGGAATTATATTTAGTTAATAATGGTTTTAATGTATCTTGAAAACCATACAAATGACTTAACTGATAACAGAAAAGGTCCGCATACCTATTTCCATTTTTTATTCAAAATAAAAATAAATCATATTAGATAATTTGTAATGCAATCTCTCCAGCTTCTATCCAAACAATACAATTTGAATGATCCTAACAGTTTTACCTTTAAAGTTAAATAGGCAGAAGAGCAAAAGAAACCCAAAAGAAGACTAGATATAAAACCAAATGCAAGACAAGGAATTTGCTTCCAAAATTCTGGAAACTGATGTTGAAAAGTTACAATTTCTTGTGCATACAAATAGTAATAAAGGCTCTTAGATTGGCCTTACTAATCCCTGAGAAGAAAGGAAGGAACCTTTATATACTACCCCATTTATGTTTCAAATGTATTGTTTATAACAGCTTTGCAACGCACTAATATAAACATAATATTCTTTACCTTCCAATATTTCCTTTTCTGTCTCTCTCTTTTCCTTTTTTGTTTTTTTTCCTATGGAACACGGACACACACACACACAAACACTCCTGTCACTGTCAATATTCACACTCATTAGCAATATGTCAGGCTGGCATTTTGAACACATACTCCAGAGCATAACTGAACACCCAAGTAGAGCACACAAATATAAAAATACAGTTGGAAAGAGGAAAAGGCTCAATGGAATAATTTTTTAACTCTGAGAAACATGTAAATATAGAAAAGAGTAACTGAAATGCTTACTCAATGTTTTATAAATGCACTATGGATTGGGTCTCTAGATACCAGCTCAGAGATTGTTCTCAGTTTTTACATACGGTTGTAAATACAAACATGTATATTTTAGCACTACCATCCATTTAGCAACAACATTCCTTAACATTAAGTTACAAATGTTAAGAGCCCCAAGATTTAACTGTTTCCTTTCACCTTTCAATCAAATTGAAATAAAAACTCTGGGAAAATATCACCAAATACATTTTTATAATACCTATAACTGAAGAAATCAGCAATGACGGCAGCCACATTTACAGTTTTGGCAAACAATGTCTGATAAGACAAGTGGCAGTATAAAAATAAGATGCACAGTGCCAAATCATATTTTTTATTATTCACTGTTTTATTCTCAGATAAGATTTTTTTTTTTTTTTGGTGGGGGGGAGGGAGTTTCTGTTATCTTTAAAAATCCTATGACAAAAAACCAAATTTCTCCATGCGGCACCATGAAACGAAAGCTAAAAGTCATAAGAACATAAGCTTGATTTAATGAAGGACAATTAGAACAAGTGGCATAATGAAAAGAAGACACATACCTTTAGCTGTACAAATGCATCCCTTCTCAGCACATCTACATAGCTCCGCAGCTCCATCAATGCAAAAGTCGACTCTGCAATGCTTATGATCTTCATGACAATGGCACCATGCTGCTGGTAAATTTTTCGATTATACTTCTCAGACATGGTAGCAACTTTGTTAATTATGATATTAGCCAGCTGGCGGGTATGATCAATCATCCACTGTAAGAAAGCCAGACAACGAGACATCTAATCATTGCAACCAGAGCAGATAAATTTTGTTCCTTTCTTATACGTGTCACAGATTCTATCCCTCCTGACCCTCTACACAGCCATCGACTGTCAAATTTAGATTCAGCAAGCTCCCAGCTTTTCTTTATCCCTGCCTCAGATCTGAAACTCCTGGTTATCAGGAAGACAAGCGTCACCAGCTGTCTCAGAGCAGGAAGGCAATCAGGTGAATAGTACTTATTATCTTTCATTGCTTTCTGAGGAGTGACAAGATTGATTTGGGACCAAAAGCACATCCATATCTCTAGCACGGTGACTAGGGCTTCAAGTTCAGACAGTGGTGCATATGTAAAGCTGCAATGAGGGACTTCAACCCTGACCTTATTCATAATGCATATTGAAAGTTTAAAGCATTGGAAAAAATAATTTGGAAATTTATGAAACTCCCTTTTTACAGTCACCGTGGATATTCCCTTCCATCCTCCTCCCCAAAAATATGGGTAAGATGACTGCACTGTTACCCAAGGGATTGTGTTTCACAGTTGGGTAGTTTTAATTGGGCCCAAAGAAGCAGTTAGCTGCCATTAAAGGCTTCTCTGTAGACATCATCCTTCTTAACTAGTCTGATAGTCTATAAATTCCGATTAGTGGAGCCTACATTGTGAGGAGGTTAAAAATGCAAATAAATAATAACCTCTTAAACAAAAAAGCATCGTAACTAAATGCAATCTGATTGTTAGTTTCAGCATTGCTGCTGGAAGCAATGCTATCTTTGACCTTTTTATTGAAGAGGAAATTGCAGAGGTTTGCATCCAGGCTTCAAGATTGTTGTTAAAAATTAAGCATTTTGTGAAGTACATAAAGTACAAGTTGAATTAAATAATGTGGAACTGAAAAAAGTCAATAGCATACAAATAGTGAAAAACAAAAATAAAAACAAAACAAACAAACAAACCTCCCCTACTACTAAACATGGTTGTGCAATCATAATGATGATTTTACATTTAGCAAATTAGGTATAAATGCGGACCATGAGAAGGGTCAATTTATATCGACATATAAATATTTTTGTGAACTCTTCTTTTTATATTCTATTTTGTAGCATTTACATAGGAATTAAAATAAATATCAAGGACAGACTTCAGTTTTGGTTTATCCATTTGCAGTGAATATTTAACTAATTGGATCAGGGACTGTTTTGCCAAAACCATATCCATTCAGAGCTCACATTTTTGGCTTTGTTCATTCACTTTTAGTGATTATATACAAAAGTAATTTCTTAGTTTTTCTTTCAAGTTTTCAAAAATTGATAAGAATTTAACATGCTTTGAAGACAAGGGAGAAAATAGCTGCAGATAGAAAATGTAACAGCTTGTGAGAATATCAGGTGTAATCTGGTTATGCTGCCTTGAAATTACAATGCTATCAGAACCTGCTTTGTCCTTCTAAGTGTGAAATTCTGTTTTTATGCAACTGTCTGATGTGATAAACATTTAGATCTATCTTAATAATCAAAACACAAATTGTCCAGATTGATCATTGAATTTTAATCGGCTATTTATTGCACTAAAAGTAGGAAAATATTTACAGCCATACAAAATGCTGCAATAGGGACCTCTGTTTATAAAGGTAAATTTTGACCCTACTTTGAAGTACATGGCGCAACTTCCTTTGACTTCGTGGAGCCAGGATTTCACTCATTATTAATAATCTCAAGAAATTATTTGTATACTAGGTCATTTATTATATATATATTTCCCTACTGCATATAGACCCTAATCAGTGTCAGATCTTACTGTTCTAGGCACTGTAAAAAAATGAAGATGAGAGAGGTGCTGGACCCAGCATCCGGCTTATGCTTAAGACCAGATGCAACAAGCAAGTGTAACAAACAAACGGGGGCAACATTAATATAACTTTATTCATTGTATTCATTGCACATATAAGCTACATGCACAATATGTATGTAGCTAAGTGTTTCTTATTATAGAGTAATAGAACTGGACGGAACCTTGAGAGATCGTCAAGTCCAGACTCCTATACTCATGGCAGCACCAAGCATCAAATCTGCTCTTAAAACTCTCCAGTGATGGAGATTCTATAACTTCCCTAGGCTCGTTTAAACATTTTGGTAGTAGTATCACCACATAGATGCTTCCCTATGCTTTGCCAGCTGTCTGCATGCTGTAAGCAACACAGCAGAAGTTAGGAGGGTTGTGGAGGAGAGTAGGGTACTGATTTAGCTGCTTAGATTGGGGGGGGGGGGCATCCATAAAGTGCAGCATGAAAAAATGTTCAAAGTACTACATCACTTACATTAAAGTTTGGCCATTTTGCCAAACCACTTGGTGGAGGCTTTTATTTGCTTGCTTGCTTGTTTTTTCATTCACTGCACAACTGAACTCTAAGGCTGGAATTCTCAAAGGGGCAAAGGGACTCAGACACCCAACTGCTATCAAAATTGGTGGGATTTAGGCTTTTAACTCTCTTAAGCCTTTGAAAATCCCAGTGTCAGTTGTTCTTCCTATAGACATCTAATGTCAAACGGTATCTCAGGAAAATATCAACTTGAGATGGAGCATATGGGAAGCATGGCAAGATCACAAAGGGGATGCATAAGGAGGAAACAGAAGAAGAGCACACAGGGGAAGTTGCTATACACCGTACCTGGAAAATGAAGAGAAAGTAGTATGGAGGACTAAAGGGCACAGAAGATGCATAGCAAGAAAAATTAAAGAATAGACCCTGACGAATTAAAGAATAGACTCCTCAAGTAGGAGGGAGCCAAAGTATAATTACTCTGGCAGCTCCAACTTTACAGAAAGGAAAACACCTCTACTAACATCCCCAAACTGAAAAATGCATGGACCATAATTTTTGACCACCCAAATGCAATGGAAACCCCTGCTCAGAGACAACACAGTCCCAAAATTTCCACAGACTGCTGTATCAAGCAGACCCCAGATCATAAAGAAAAGGCAAAACAAGAGGAAACAACTTTATAAGGGAGCAGGAACCACCAACTAAAGCATAAAATAAAAATAAAAAAAGTTAAGTTGTTTTGATCAATGTACCTGACAAAGCTGCACCGTAGAAGCCAGTTTAGTATAAGCTTTTAAAGAAAATAAATGCACTTGTTGGTTTAACTGCAAAAATACAACTCTAATAAACTTCCACTGGTTACAACTCAACATTGTATTACAGAATATTAAGTTAACTGCAAGTTTTATAAAATGATATATGTAAATAATAAATTTAAATAAAAATGAAAACTATAATTAAGGGAAAGTTCTTAATATTCAAATATAATAGCTTTTAAAATGAGGTGTTTCCATGTCAGGCATTTGCCAAATAATAAGGGCCTTAAGTGGCTTGACTGCTCCAAGATACAGATGGGAACAGAGGAGCAATATAAAGGCAAGAAGCCAATGGATCATGACACAGTTTTGTAGATTTGGAGGAGCATACGGGGCAGGAGCACAGACAGATCTGAGACAGAAGCACCACTTTCTGGTAAATGCTTTTCCAAACCCATTAGGAATTAGTACTGCTCAATGTTCTATTAATTCCCCCCTTCAAAGCTATTATCCTCTGTGTGCAACTCCAGGGAGACAGCCCCTTAGAGGTGTTCAGACATTTGACAAAGGTTGTGTTTTGTTGTCAGAAAATACCAATCCCCAGAAATCACAATACTTTGTAGAAACACATTAATTTTAACAACATTTTCCTGGGCAAGGTTTCTCAGATATAGGATGGAATTTCTGGCCAAAATGGCAGACACACCCACCCTGAAATAGCCAATAGCCAGAGGTTAGAGCACTCACCTGGGATGTCCATAATTAAGTTCCTGTGCTCAGGGTCTTGCATTTCCCTTATATTGTTCTGTACCTTGTAGTTTTTCTGGATTGGGCTCCCTTGCACACACTCAAATACATATCCTTTTTCTTGAAAATTTTCAAAAGACGACAGTTTGGGTATGTCTAGACTGCATCCCTCTGTCGGCAGAGGGATGCAGATTAGGCAGGTCGACATTGCAAATGAGACAGGGATTTAACTATGTAAACCTGCAAGGAGGCTTACAGGATCTGTCGAAAAAGACTTTCTTTCTCGACAGATCCCCCTCTAGACTGTTGCTTTTTGCCGACAAAGTGCTGAGTCGGCAAAGTGCGGTGGCCATTTTTATGCAAATTAGGCACAGGATATTTAAATCCCTGCCTCATTTGCAATGTCGACCTACCTAATCTGCATCCCTCTGCCAACAGAGGGGTACAGTCTAGACATACCCTTTGATTCCAGAACAAAAATAAATTTTGAAACTAACATTTTTTTCAAAATAGAACTATTATTTTCCAGCCAGCCTTAGAGCCTATAGCAGTTTTGTTCCTGAGTGAGCCAAGAATGAGGCTCTTTAGGGGGGGGAAGGTGAAGGGTGTAGGGTGGAGAATGCAGCTTGCAGCTTATGGGGAGCTGAATGGAGGAGTTGTCTAACAACATGGATGGGTTTTGATTACAAATGAATCCTCAGGCTCTATTCAGCTTGGAGGCTACATACACATACACACACATCATAGCTCACCACCCAAAGGAGATGTGGCTGAAAATCAGAGCTTTGGCTTTCTACAGTCTCATGCAGCTTTTCTCATAGTTTAAAATTTTGAAGCCCTACATGAGTTAAACACAAAACTATGTTGATGAACTAGAGACTCCAGAGCCCTTTGCGCTATTCATTCCATGTGGACAAAAACCAAAATTTTTTCTAAACACACAACTGTAACTTTTCTCTTTGTCTACTTTTTCTGTAACAAATACAGTATGATATAACACACAATTCTACTCTGACAGCTGACTAGTCCATGGGTGACAACTAATAACTTTGTAACGGAGGGAATTATCTGAAGTAAAGGGGACACTAGAAAGGTGTATTTGACAATAATGCAGCTTCTTTTTTCCTGATGATGACGATGGATGGTGATGATGATAAATGAGAAGGA